TATAACCTAGCGAATAAAAGAATTTATAAGTACTCAATTCTTTCGTTTACTATATAGCGAACGAAAGATTTTATAAATACTCAATTCTTTTATTAGCGACTTAGTAAATAAAAGAATTTATAAGTACTCGATTCTTTCGGTTATTACTTATTAAATAAAAGATCTTTTAGGGATTACTTTTTCAATAAAAGAATTTCTTAAGTTTTATTTAATTTCTTTTAGTAATTACTTAATAGCTTAAAGAATTCCGTAAACTTATTTACTTATTTTTATTTATATTAAATTATTTAAAAAACTTTTTTTATTAATATTAGGCGGCTATAGTAGTAAAGTAATATTAAGTAGCTACGGTAGTAAAGTAATATTAAGTGGCTACGGTAATAAAGTAATATTAAGTAGCTACGGTAATATAGTAATATTAAATAGCTACGGTAATAAAATAATATTAAGTAGCCACGGTAGTTAAGTAATATTATATTTTATAATTAAAAAAAATAATTTATTTATATCTATTAAAAAGTAATAACTAAGTAGTTATAATATAGTAATATTTTTATTAATTTCTCGCTTTTTTAAAATATACCTTTTTTTTAAGTAAAAAGTATGCGAAATTCTTAAAATTTCCTAAACCTAAGCCTATTTAGCCTACTTAATACTTACGGGCTTTAGCGATAGGCTTATTATATTTTTAGCTACGTAATTAAAAACCTTTAGCTATAGCGCTCGACCCCCGCTCGACTTTTTATTATAGCGCCCTATAACTTTTAGTTATATAGCTAATTAAGAACTTTTAGCTATAGTACTTAGTTATATAACCTTTTATTACGGTACTTTATAACCTTTTACTATATAACTAGAGCTTTAGCTATAGGCCTATTATAAACCTTTAGCTACGTAGCTTAGAACTAAAACTTTTAATTACGGCGCTTCTAAGCTCGGGCTATTACTACCCCCGCTCCCGCCCCTAGTTACTTACTAATTAGCTTTAGCTACTCTATAACCTTTAGCCGCGCTGCGTATTAGGCTAAGGCGTATTAGGCTACGGGTTCTCTATAGTTTAATAGGTTTAATTATATTCTAAAATTACTAGAGTTCATCTGTGTTACACTAGTTAGCCGGGGCTTGGACGTGTCCCGAGAGTGCAATACACACCGCCATCCCATTCACCGTAATTAGGATATATACTAGCATTTAATCTTTCAGCCTCCTCAAAGCCTCCTGCAAGGAAGCTCTTTCCGGAGAGCCCTTCGCATATTAAAGCTAATCAAAAAGAATCGATTAGCCAGAGGAGGTTACAGGGAAAGGTAACATACGAATTTCTCATTTTCAAACTTGGGAGGGTGTAGCAGAGTCAACTGTCTCCGCCCAGTGGTAGCTGCCGGAAACCTCTGACCGAGGGTGCTCCGGCTACCACGTGTCGCGCCAAGGGACCACATTCTTGCGTTTAGCATTCAAGCACGAATCTGCTTCTTTTCAGGACGAATGTCACCAAATGTAATGGCACTTCCATAGCGGAGGCCGAGAACCTATGCTTTTAGCCTGCGCCTAATCGACCATGGGGGCAAGCTGAGGGCAGCCTATCGGGATTTTGCTCCGAGACTGATTCCGACTTGCCCAGTAGCCTCTATCTAGACACCTTCTCCTATCGAAACGCCTCTGACCCAATATTCCGGCCTCGCTGAGCGGAATATTGTCCGAATCGTTATCACAGATTGCAAATGAGGGGAGGTACCGAGGGTAATGTCAAGATAACGGAGATATCCTTGAGTCCGCTCGTGTTAGAGGAGTCGCTAGTCAGACGGCTTCAGAGTTTATAAGCCTGAATTAGTTGGCTCTTGAGGAGAGTTCGTGACTTAGATAGCGCTTGATTACACCCGAATGATCCACCAAAACAAACAACCACTCCTGAAACCTCGGCCTCACATTACCATGCCTCCTAAAGTTGTCGTTGGTTGTCCAGCTCGGGTAACCCTCTCGCCCATCATCCTTCGTCTCAAACACCGGGGGCTTTCTGATATTGCAACCAAAGCACAAGATGCGGTTCAACTGGGAGAGACGGCTCTTTCCCGAATCACTACGAAGACCCTCCTACGCTCGCTAGTGTTGACATCGATAATGAGGAGAGCGTGGATCATGCAGCCATCACTGAAGTTTCTCAATCTCGTAACAAAGTCTAAAAGTCCATTACTAGACTTGGACAGGAACCCTCTACTGAACCGGTTGATTAGATGGGCTCTCTACAATCACTTTTGTGCCGGCACCACCCACGCCGAAATTAGTCATTCAATTGCTAAGTTGAAGGCGATGGGCTATCAGGGCGTCATCCTCGGCCATGCGAGAGAATTCACCGTTGATCTAGACTCGGGAGTCACAAAGTCTCAAAACGCCAAATATATTCCTGCTGGGAGCCGAATGGTGGAAGAATGGAAGCAACTCAATCTCGATACTTTGCGGATGCTACAGCCTGGAGACTTTCTGTCCCTCAAGTGAGTTATTCTTGCTACACGTACTTGCTTTGATATCGTCCAGTCATTTGTTCATTGTAGAATTTCGTAGTACTGCGACGACGACGGTGGTGGTCTAATCCTTTCTGTTCGTTAGAATGACCGGTGCCGGCCCAATTGCCATCGACGCTATGCGAGCACGCCAACCAATGCCCGAAGTCGTCTTAAGGTCAATGGAAGATATATGCATCGAAACGAAGCAACGAGGTGCACGACTCTGGGTCGATGCCGAGCAACAAGTCTTCCAAGTCGGCCTCGATGATTGGGTGATTGAACTGATGAGGAAGTTCAACCGTGACGGACAGCCTCTCGTTTACAACACAATCCAGGCATATCTCAAAGGAGCAAGAGATAACGCTTCACGTCACATCACTCTTGCGGCCACTGAGGGCTGGACTGTGGGTGTCAAACTCGTGCGAGGAGCGTACATTGAACATGAGATCCGCTCCCTCATCCATGACACCAAAGAAGAGACAGATCGCTCCTATGACGAGATTGTCGAGACTCTCATCTCACGAACGCCATGGCCGATTCAAAGCTCAGCTAAGTTTGAGTTTCCATCTGCCGCCCTCTTTCTTGCCACACATAATCGAGCCAGTGCCGAAAAGGCCATCAGAATTCACCGGTCGAGAGCCACTAAGGGTCTACCAATGACAAAGTTGGAGTCTGGTCAGATCATGGGCATGGCTGACGAGCTGAGCTGCGCGCTGCTTGAAAATCGGGATCAATACGCTGCTGATGTGACTATGAGCGATGGTGGGGCCCCTGGTATCTTCAAATTCATGGCATGTGGGTCGGTCGGAGAATGTTTGGGATACTTGCATCGTCGTGCAATTGAAAATCGAGGCGCTGTAGAGCGCACTAAGTATATGGTTGATGCTTTGAAGAGGGAGCTCCGCCGCCGTGTTTTGGGATAGGTTTTTTTTTACAGTTCCCATCACAATGAAAAACAGATAATGTCAATGATGTCGCCGTACGAGATCCTTCTGGATTATCACATGGTAACAACTCTTGATTGCGTACATCTCCAGCCCCAGCCTGAGTAATATGAAATGATGGCTTAGGGAATCAAGGCTTTTTTTTCATTTCCTTGGTCATGGGGTCATCTTAGCCACTATCCATTCATCAAATATCATCGTCAAGAGCCTTTGTAATATCTGAATGGTGATCTATATTTGAGCCAACTAATGCTTACCGTCCATTCTTCATACTTTACTGCAAAGCAATGATGTCCATTTCGATAGAAGCACCAGCCGGGAGCTTTGTGGCCTCACATGAGGAGCGGGCAGGACCGTGTGGGAAGTATTCGGCGTACACATCATTTACCGCCTTGTAATCTCTGAAGTCCTTGAAGAAGATCTGGGCGCTCTTCAGTTGTTTGTTAGACGCCGCGGAGATTTTCTAACTTACCATAACCTTTACCACCTTGTCCAGGCCGGAGCCAGCGGCTCCGAGCACGGCGCGGGCATTCCGGCACATTACATGAGCTTTTTCAGTAGCAGTACCCTCGATGAGTTTTCCATTGGGATCCGCAGGAATTTGACCTGAGAGAAACACGAGGCCATTTGCTTTGATTGCCTGATGATATGGACCGATAGCTAACACAAAAGCTGTTGGTGAATTGTGTATCAGGTGGAGACATCTGTGTGTACTCACGGGCGACTGCGTCCGGTGAGAAGACTGTCTCCATTTTACTCCTACACCCAGGATTCTGAGAGAACATGCGGAAACATTTCTTGGAAAGACTTGACCGTTGTTCTCGAACCTTGGGGCCGTTGCTCAGCAAAGCATTACGGCTGGCCAAGATCCCTCCTGCTATGCAAGGAGCCGAGGATCGAATCATCGAAGTATATAACAGAGACATTGCGCGCGTGTAACTTTGTCGTTTGGAATGTGAGCACGATCAAAATTACTGTCTATTGCCATCGAGGCATATTAGTTAAGTACAAGATCATGTTGCTAGTCGGAATCGTATGCCGCACCTCCACTCCGCCTTCGGACCTCGATTCCGATTGGGTCGGAACTCAGCATTGATATTAACACCAACCAGAGATGTTTCCCAGCTAAAAGGCGACTCTCATGCCAGATGCTTCAAGTTTTCAGTATCAAATACCAATTGATTATTATCAGATCATTATCTTGTTAACAACTGTGAAATTGTTGAAATGTCAGCCCTCTCCCTTCAATCGTCTATTCGGTCCGTGCTGGTTCGACGAGCTCGCCCTCTTGGCACATTGGAAAAATATGGCCGGCGCGGAATAGCAACGACCGCTCAAAAGAAAGAGTGGCTTGCTATTCTTCCTGACAATCCCAATGTGTTGGAAATCAGGAAGAAGGTTAAAGGGCACGTGACCATCTCGCATCACTAGCGTCGCGTTCGACTGGGGCTTCATGACGGGGCTGACTTCCTTCGCAGAGACCATTACGAAGACATTAAGCCCATGATCACTTCGGGAACACTACCAGCAGGCGGTAAAAGTTTCACTATTTCTTTTTCATTCTTCGTTGCCGACGTGTTCATGCCTAGGTGCGATCTTCGAAAAACACCCTGTCGAGGGTGAGCCTGCGCTTTTCATAGGAAGCGTCGTTGTCTACGCTGCCGAGAGCCTCGAAGAAGTCTACAAGATCATTAAGAGCGATATATACGCTAAGAGAGGCGTATGGGACCTCGAGAAAATCCAGGTCATTCCGGTGAGTTCAAGCTCATATTCTCCTCATCACCAGAAGTGTAGTGATGTATCGCTGAGCACGTTATGCCCGCAGTATGTTCCGGCTGTGCGCGAGCAAATTAGAAAAGAGAACTGAAGACTTCGCAAAAGTTCTTATCATGAGGTAGACTTATCTGAAATAAAACCTGATCAAGGGTGTGCATTTAGTAATACCAAAAACATCTATCAATTAGGCCACCCGAACACCAAGCAACTGTTTTACTTATACTGTGTTGCCATGAATGATGAGATTGATAGGGAGGGTGGGTAGGCTACCGGAAAATAGATCGTCAATAGGAAGTTCCGAGTCGTTAGTAATCTTAAAGACTATACTATGCAGCCGTCCACATGTTGTCATCCTCCCACATCCAGCCGCCCTCGAGCATTGCGGCATCGATAATATCTGACTCGTGAACATTCAGGTCGTCTATAACAGACATCATTGTCTCCAGATTCGTCGGCGCAGAACCATCATTACCAGGTCGAACTTGCGACCATACCGGGCTGCCGGAGGCCCCCGATGGATCAGCATTAGCGATGGCGTTTCTAACCATACTAGGAGTGTGTCTAGCGTTGCTTTCCGCTTCCTGGCCTTCATCTTGCCGGTGTGCGTCTGCGATATCGCCGCTGCCACGAAGCTTGGTGTGCAGCTCCACAAGCTGTAATAGATCTGACCGGTAAGCCTGTGCAGGCGCCACATGCCGTGACACGTATTCGTCGAGTAGGTGTATGGCCTGAGGCAAGTCCCACAGCAGTTCATTCGCGGGTCGGATGATATCTATCAAGACTAGCGCAAAGGCTGCAGAAAATAGGGCGTCTATGTCGTAGGGTAGGAAGATATCTTGAAGAGTTAGGGATGATGGATTATCCTTTTTGGTGCACGGGGACTTACCGCACATCATCTGCTGTTTCAGCGCAGCCATGATCTTGAGGATTTGGATCGCCGACTCGACACACATTTTCAGCATCGAGTCAAAGATAGACGGAGGTTGCCGGATTCGCCCTTCCAAGGTATCCAGACTCAATAACGGCTTTAAGACGGAATAGAGAACCGGTCGAACGGTCAGAATCACACACTGTACCCCTGATCAGCGTCATGTCTCTCGAATGTTTGGTGCTCTCACGAACTTGATGAAGAAGCAGGTGTAAAGTGGCAGCATCGCGGGTGAGGGGCTGCGACGGCGCGTCTAGGTCCAAGTCCAAGTGTTCTCGTAGGACAACAAGAGTCTCTACCAGACGTTCAAGGATTTCTCTGACTTGTGTCACAAAGGTACGCTGCTTTTGATTGTGTACTCCGTATATGACTACAAGATTACTGTTAGTGGCAGACCCTATTGAGATGCTAGACTACACGTGTACTGAAGACATGCCCACGTACCGTCGAGAATCCTCCCGAGGTGGGATGAGAGAGTGACGTGGATAGCAAAGATGTTCTGGACCTCATCCCCGGCCTTCGTTTTAGGGAAAGGTATGGAGATGTCATCGTCTCGGACTACCATAGTGCTTCCCAGCATGGCAGCGGTTTTTCTGTCTATGCAGTAGACTGTCCACCAGAGCCTCCTTTGGTACTCGACGTTTGGTGGTCTCAATGCTTCGGGCATTGACACATTCATTATCTTGGTTGTCCCAATACGTAAAGCGTTGCCGATCTAACCTTCAAGTTAGCCATAGGTTTCAACCAGAAACTTTTGTTCCAGACATACCGTTACGTAGGCCTCTTGAAGCATGTCTGTTGCGTGCATGAATAGAGCTGTCAGACTGAGAATCTCCATTGATAGGAAAGGGCTCTGGTAGAGTCTGCAAATATCTGACATGGCTTCGATAGCGCTGGCGAAGTACACCATTCCTGCGGGTCCCGACTGCGAATGTTCTCGGCTGAGTATCGACTTACCGAGACCTAGGACTAGAAGCATCTGAATATGCCAGAGGCATGGGTTCGGGACAGTTCCTGTAGCACGTTCCGAGTAGAACATTCTCAGCTTCTCCAGAAACGCTTCGGCGTCGAACAAAGAGTATAGTGACCCAAAGGTTAGAACAATAGTGTTGGTCAAGTATTCTGCATAAGAGAGTTGGGGTAATGGGACTTTTGTGAGGTCTAGTGCAAGAGGTGGGAGAGGAGAACTGTAGGATACATCTTCGCGCTCTATAGATACACTACCCGGATCTGCGATAGGAGTCGAAGACTGAAGAAGGTTTCGAACATTGCGGCTGAAGCTGAGTGTCGAGCTGTGGCCGAGATAGGCTTTGAACCGTTACTTTAGATGCATTCATAAGAGAAATAAAGTGTGGGCCTACCTGCATGGCCGTAACGGCGGATTTTGATCTGTGGCTCAGAGGTCACTAAAGTATTGGCGAACTCTCTCGTGGCTGCTGGCTACGCTGAATCAATATAAGCGACAATGGTTGATCCCGAGTTACATACTGAGCCCGGAGGCTCTGCTTCCGGCAGCCTCATAGGTGATTCTTCTCTGGCTTGCTCCTCGTTGCCCAGAGGAGACCCATCGGCAGGCCTGTCTTGCGCTGCTCGGAGCTGTGACTCAAGCGACTTGATCCGATTCTGTAATTGAGTGATATGACTGCATTGAAATGAGCAATTGTGGAACATCTTGAGAATCCGGGAAATAACTGACTCAACTGGAACAGCCACTCTTCTTTCCTTCTCTTCGTAAACACACTTTTCTTTACGACTGGAACACCGTTCACATGGATCTCGCCCAGAGCACCGAAGCTTTCGATTCCTGCAGCTCATACATCTGTTAATCAGGGTCAGCCGAGGCTCTTCTCGTGGCGATTGGCCATCTAATTGGTCGTCGCGTTGGTCTTGGGGCGCTATGCCTTACGCATTCAGTATCTTTTTGCGATTGCGGATTATTGACTGAGATGATTGCATGTTTAGTCCCTTACTCGTTGCTCGATCGATCTCGAATGTCCAAGTAGTAGCTGTCTGCGTTATCGGAGGCGTGCATCATAAACGACATTGAAACATTGACGTCGTGCTGCGGGGAAGGCGGGAGGGTTGCTCGGCCCGCGCATGATAAGGAGCTGGTGATGGCTTCGTTATCGTCTGCACAGCCACAGTGTGGCTATTAGATGCACGTGATCGAAAGGGTATTGTACCCAAATCTAGCTGAACAGACGAAAGTAATTGAATGAATTTGTAGTATATTTCCTCAAAGTCGAAGCCTTTCGTTATCTTTTTTGCTTATACCATATGCGTTTGCCGGGTCTTATTGAGTCGGTTAGCCCGCGCCTGCCCCTGGAAAAGGGGTCTTAGCTTGGTTGTGGTCTGTTCGTTTATTAAGCTATTTGCGACATTGGTTCTTTGATGAAGTTGACGTTATAAATAACTTAACAGACATCGATTTACTTTTGATAAAGATGCATAACATTAGAACTGTCAGTGAAGTGAAATAAACTTCACGTATTCTCGCCTCCAACACTACGAAGCCCCTCTCGCTCGGTATAATGGGGCGCTTCGCAAGGATAAAATGGTAAGGATCATTCGATCGAGTCTGTCATGAGCACGGCATCTAGCCCGTGATTGCCTCCGCTAACATATAGAAGTGTAGTAGAGTTTGCTTATACACGGTAAGAGAAGTTAGTGTTGGAAGGGATAAAAATTACCTCGCTGTGAATAAAGTGCGCCATAGGAAATCCGTTAACCGTGATAGTTACCTCTACACCTTGTATTGTAATATGATACTGCGTAGGCTTGTCATAGTAAGCTCAACCGCGGCTTCGGGGATATTGGCCCATCATAAAGGTTCTATAGGCAAAAAGGGCGCTTGTCTGCACGGATACAAGCAGAGGGGAAATGATTTGACAGACTCCATCATTCAAATGAAGCTATTTCGGTCCGTAATATTTGTCGACCTAAATCGGATGCTGATCATCTGGTATGAGCTCGTTTGGACCATCTTGACAGCTTCCCGGCCCAGATTTGTGATTAATCAGGTCGTACTGCAACGCAAAGTTGCGCAGGGGATAAACACCTCAAATTTCAAATTCAGTCTTGTTCAGAGGTCTGGTCAGGTTGAGAGCGCGTGCAATCACGTTCGAGAAGAAGTGCCTCAAACGAGCCAGGCACGAGTACCGGATTCAGCTCAATCTCCGGCTTCATGAGCTAGGAGACGTATATCGCGTTATTTGGAATTCCGCAAAAGTCCCCTGGCATCATGATGCGATTTGTTAAACAGTCATGTTCGTCAGACAGCTCTCGTCGCTCCGGACTCACATACGATCCCGTCCTTTTGGGGCGTAGAATCGTACGTCTTCCGATGAACGCGTAGAAATGCTTTAGGACCGCCACTCGTAGAGCCATGGGTGATCATCAATGTGAAGGTGCCTCTGGAGGAGTTGCTGGTGATTAGGAAAGACTATCTGTGACGTCACCCACGAGAGAGATGCTAAGGCTTTTTTGAGAGCATATGACTGGAGACCTTGAGGTCTGGTGTGTTGCCAAAGAGATTGAAGAGAGGCATGTTGTCACGAGCGAAATGAAAGTTGCGATGGTCAGAGGAGATATTGTAGGTGGCTCCTGTAGCCTGAAGTTGTGTTTGATCTACCTTAGTCACAAGAAACACTCGACGCATGGTTTATTCCAGACCAAGTCAGGCGCTGGCTAAGAGACCAGATGCTTTGAATGGCCGCATTCTGAGCACCACCCACTCTGTAGGTCAAGGTGGACGGGGTTGGTGACAAGGGCGTTCACGCGCCCCTCGGGCACCGATGGCCCCTATCTACGCCACTTTTCCCTGCAACGAAACGGATATCGGCTTCGCTCATTTCGGATGACCATCGCCTATAAGTGCTGGATCAGGTTCCTGTGCATCGCAGGTAGTCGTCCCTCTATCCACAATTGCTACGATAGGGTTTAGTCACTTTAGCGCCTGGCGTGATAGATAAGAATGAGGCGGCGTTTGCCAAGCTGCAGTAGCGGACTTTCGGGCCCGCGACAACGAGACAAGTAGATTGTCAAGAACCACATTGATAGGGTCGTATCATACGCAGCCACGGATTAAAAGCATTAACTTGGGAGAGCAGTACGCAAGGTTCATAGAATATGTCTCAGCGTATTCTTGGCCTGCAGATGAACAGGGCCACGGATACTTACTGCATTATGATACCTATCTGCATCTTGCTGTATTTGAGATAGGATGTTAATATAAAGATGAAGGAGATGTCTAGTGAAGTCGGTCAATATAAGCTCTCAACTCAGCAACTTATAACATTCCTTCATTTCAATTACGACTGCATCTCATCATGGCATCCGAAAAGAAGTTCCAAATACTTATTATTGGTGGTAGTATCTCCGGCCTTTCTCTAGCTATCATGTTAGAGAAGGTAGGAATCGACTACCTTTTACTTGAAGCCCATCCCACCATAGCGCCTCAACTCGGTGCGAGCATCGGCCTGGAGCCCAATGGCCTCAAGATCCTCGATCAACTGGGATGTTACGATTCCCTGCGTGAGATCGCGGGCGACGTCTATTACAGATGTTCTATCAGATCCTCAGATGGACTCACTCTGTCAGAAACCCAAGGCGCAAGTGCTTCTGAGCGGATCGAAAGCCTGTACATTCCCTTACTCGTCCAATATCTTACCCATCGTTCCATTACTAAACTCGAGCAGGACCGGCTACCCTTCTACTTTCATCGACAGACAGATGCTTCTGCAGGTCTTATACGAACAGATTTGTAAAAAGGAATGTGTTTTGACCGGCAAGCGAGTCTCCGAGGTCCAGATGGATGACTCAGGCGTCACCGTCAAGACATGCGACGGAAGCACCTATTCAGGAGACATTCTCATTGGGGCTGATGGGGTCCGGAGCTTCATCAGACAGGAGATGTGGCGCCTTGCTTCTCAAGAAAAACACAATATGTTCCCTCCTAACGAAGCTCAGAGTAAGCCAAAAGAAGCCTCGCCCATTTAGTAAACTTTTCACCTTCTCACAAACATTAAAGGTCTCAATTCGAACACGAAATGCATTTTTGGAATATCAAAGCATCCCAAAGGTTGGCGCGGGGTGCAGCATGCCGCTTTCAACGATGGGCGATCCTACCTACTAATTCCAGCCCCAAAAGACCGTGTATACTGGTTTTTCATCAAGATGATGGATCGCACCTACTATGGGAACGATATCCCCAGGTTCTCAAAGGAAGATGAGGCGGCGCTCGCATCGCAATACCTGGACGATAGCATCTCGGACACAATCAAGTTTCGAGACGTATATGAAGAACGCCAGATTACTACACTTGTAGCACTAGAAGAGCACGTTTTCTCTCGCTGGAACTACCAGAGAATTCTGTTGATAGGCGATTCTGCCCATAAGGTAACATGTTTGACATTTTGACATTGATAATGGACTTGAGTTGCTGACTGCTTGCACAGCTTCACCCAATTACTGCTCAAGGCGGCAACGGAGCTATCGAGACAGCCGCAACTTTCATCAACACTCTAGTTGCAACTTTGAATTCAACTTCAGGAGCTCTGTCAGCAGAGGAGATTGAGACTATGCTTGCACGAGTTCAGGCCAAACGTCAAAACGTTATCACTGAAGTTATGCGGCAGGGGCGGTTGATGAACAGCCTTTTCTGCCAGCAACTACCTTTCTCCAAATTGATGATTAGAACTATTGTCCCCTGGCAGGGTGATAGTCTTTTCGTCAGAGCCTGGTACAAGAGCTACTTGAAAGGAACTCACATAGAAAGCCTCGAGTTGCCTCGTAGGCTTGTAACCGGTTCATCGTATGGGCTTTTGGTCCCGCAAAGCCTGCTGCATAGCTGGATGATGTGGACGACTGGGGCTGTCTGTTCTGGTCTTGCTGCCTTTATCTTTGTACAGTTCCGCAAGGCGTAAATGCCAGTTGTCGTATACGCGTTACGCAGACTACTTATTTCTAACCCATAGTTTTCATAGCTGCTGCTAGTAACGCCATGTTTCTTCTACTAAATCTATCCTCTCTTTCGCATCTCATGCCGGCACACGCTGATCAAATCGAAGTTGCGCCATCAGTGACGTATATAGCATTTTTAATGAAGAAAGTTGATTATCAGGGCAGCTCTATTCGTTTTCATCTAGTACTAAGGCAAAGGGAATAACGCTCACGGTTCCGTTAACCTAGTAACATTACCACAACGACATATTAACAGATACTAAAGAACAGACAAACTGAGTTTTAGTTACGCCCGTAAAGACTAATACTTCAAATGATTTCGAATTATCTAAGCTATTTCTTTCAAACTACTCTATTCCAATATAACGCTTAGCTACCTAGTAGAGTTTACTAATGAAAAGGATATATTGACGCTATCGAATGGATATTATAGTTTGAAGTTATAGCATTATTTGGTCTAGTAGATCGGATTCATAGAGGCTAAGGTGAACATTCTTAAACTTAGCAACGTAACTCGAAGAAACAATAAGCTGAGAAACATTCCAAATGTTGTTCACGAAGATAAATACTAAAGAGCTATGAATACTTAACACTACGCAGTGTCTAATGTTCATATACTGCCACTATGTTATAGCTGATAGGATACTGGCTTATCTTATATTTACACAATCAAATTAACTGATGCCGGTCATAATAAGCCCCTGGCCGCTTACCGGCCTTACCTTCCACTCTAAAGTATCAACTTCTCCCTTGAACTCGGCGGTCTCTTCAACTAGGTCCCACTCGCCGGTTTCTTCCTTTTTCTTTAAGGAGCGAAAGATAATGGTCTCTCCAGCATCTTCAAAGATGAATTCCCTTCTACACAGCCGCCTCCATTGTTCCGCCAGTGTTCCCTCTCTAGCATTCTCTGCCTCTAGCTCGCGGTTCTTTTTCAGCACGGCCAAAAAAG